AACATTCTATCTCAAAAATATACAATTTGTTTGCCTACAGAATAAAGGAAATCAAAAGTAGGAACTTTGCGAAGTGACATACATTGTCAAAACAGAATAATCCCAAAATAGTTTTTATTAGGAAAATGAAATCAGTTGAAGAATTATGGACAGACAGGAAATACTAGACTTAGTTTGAGATTTACCACAACTAAGCCGTCATCAACTTTCCTGGGACGAGAGATAAAACAAAACAGTTCTCGAGGGGATCATAGGGTGAATTCAATTAAACAATACTTGAAAACCAAGGAGTACTTAGTATTTATATCGTCCTTATCTTTTTTATTACAGCCGTGACCTTTGTCCTTTGACCTCATCAAGAGTGAGGCAAGTATTACAGATGGCACTGAATGATTGTCACGGAATGTCAAGAGTTAACTAAGCTTAAATATGTGAAGCTCTGGATTCCGAATCAGTATTCTAGTGATAATCCATTTACCGAGTAGTTGGATAATATTAGTTTCAACCGTTGGCAAAATCATAAAGTAATAGCTATTGAACCATCACAAACAAGAACAAAGGAACTATCTAACATTTTCTAGTTTTTAACAGTATGCTAACTAAAGTTAGTTCATGGAGTAAATGATCTCCTAGTCAAAAAATCTCCATAAACGTCTCAATCTGAAAATACTATAAGTAAAATAATTTTTTTTAAAAACATAAATGACCTATATATTCTCAGTTATATATATATATATATATATATATATATATATATATATATATATATATATATATATATATATATATATATATATATATATTAGCATTTACACGACCTACATTTTTAGTCGAACCTAATTCTATTAACATGTACGCTAGGAAATATATTATAATGAAATTATTTCTCAAATAATTAGAAAGTTACAGACTAAAGTCAACCATTCAGTTGAACTATTGGGTTCATACTAAAAACAGGAAGCTGACTTGAAATTTCATTTGATGATCACTATCATATTTAGAAAAAATATTGTATTCACACCTATTGTCAACAAATTTATATAAAAATAAACTCAAGAAGGACTAAAAGTTTGGATGAGTATGAATGAGTTATTTTATTAACCACTTCTAAGATAAAGAAAGGGTCTGACAAAATAACATACCTTATATGTGATGAATTTTCTAGTCATAATCGAGGAATTGATCGAGACTTTTTAAGCAATCAAAGTTATCTTGCATTTTTCGATACGCAAACAGTTTACAAAAATCTGTTGTTATTCAAAGCTTTTATTAAGATTATTTTATAAATTTAATGAAACAAGACTGAGAATAAGTGGGATGTTTATTTCTAAGTATACCTCTATTTATGAGCCTTCATTAATACTGTTTTGGGAACTAAATCATTGGAAAGGATTAATCAGCTAATTAGTTTTTCACTGCGAAAGCTCAGTCCCTTCGTTATCATGATTTTGTTTGTAGTTTATCGTTCTTGCACGTTTTGTTGATTTTATGTGAATTTTATTCTCGATGGGTACTCTGTTCTGTTAACCTCTGACTATGTGACTAATTTTGCTGTGTATACCAATACATGGGATTTATTTCGATGAGTTTAGAGGTATCAGGTTGGTCTTAGTTTCATGTCTATGGACATTCTCTGGAATCCTTAGAATTTCAATAATTAAGAATGCTAACACTTTCTAAATGAATGATCTCTCATCATTAGAATTTGAATATCTCTTTATAAGTTAAATCCTCTTACCTAAATTTTATCTTAGGAAGAATCTTGTTCCGTAAAATCTTAAATGATGTGCACCAGTTTTGTAACATTCTGAACAATGGCTTATCTTACTAAATCTTGAAATAATTCCTAATTTGACCATTTCTTTATTGTAATATGTTAATCTAGTAATCATGGCTTTTTAAATTTTAAAATTTATATAAAGCAAGGAAAACATTATCTGGATCCCTTGAATTCCTTATATTTCAAGGCTTCTCATCAGCTAAAAACGTCTTGAATTTACAGTAGTAATGTTATTGTTACGCAACGTGGACATCCTGAAGGCGGTGAAAGTAATTAACAAGTAGCAACTACCGCTTTTACTTTGCCCCCAAATGCCCTGGTACGGCCGAGAGTAGGGAGAGTCCTCTCTCCCTCTAGGAATGCTCTCACATGGCCGCGCGTATATGATCCCTGCCAGGGTAGTCCTACTCATTGCATTCTCGTGGCGGGGATTTTGTTTACGAAATTGAGAGGACGAAAAGCGAATGTTTGACGCTTTAACCGGGTTGGTGGACACGGAGGGTCCACCTAGGACAGTTGGGAAACCCTGATTCCAAACCAATGGTGCACATGAGCTCAAGGATCCTGAGGGGACAAATAGCGTATGAACTAATCGTTGGTCACCGGCTACTATGGGACTGCATCTCCATATGGTGCTCCACTGCCTTATGGATCAGACCTTCAGGTCGAAGGCTCCGGGTGTGGCCCTCCAAGAAAACCACCTGATTCTTTTTGGGCACCCGTGCAGTATCACAGCCCTCACACATATCAAATGAGATTTGTGTGGAGCATTTGTATTTGGTGCCTCCTTGTGTTCAAATAAATAAATAAATCTCTTCGCAGAGGTAATTGTTATCAAGTACTTTCGACCTGACCTTTGTATACAGAATGTGTAAACAACTCATTACCGTGATAAGATAGTCATATTATTTTAAAGTCTACCAGTTACACCATTTATTTTAATTTATGAAGAAACTCCATTAAAATTCAGTTAAGGTGTTACCTTGGATTTCATGTTAACCAGGGCCTTCAATAGCATCCCTTAGTTGACAATTTGTTTTTATTGATTGCCTTTTTATTATCACTTATAATCTCAACCAATTTTGTAAATAGCCATGTCTTGAATATATCAGTAGTAATCGATGTTATTATGTTCAATATGTTATCTTCTGTTCTTGTTTCTCATATTTTTTTGTACTAAACTCCATTAATTACGGTATGTGAGAATCTTTATAATCATATTCCTAATGCATATTTAATGTCTATACATATTTTTGTTTTAGAGTGATCTGTATGCCTGAATTTTGATGTCGACTTACCAGTACCTAGTTATCATGATTGCTTCTTCGAAAGTTTGATCTACTGGGAGATATGTTTCTTAGAAACTCCCTCACGTACGACAATATCAGCAATGATGTTTTTATTGATTAGTTATTTTGACGTCCCTTACTTTATTACTGGATTCACTTTAAAATTTAGGGAATGTTTGGTCTTTATGGAATTCATTCACGTCAACAACTCTTTCCACTATGATGAAAATAATGTCTGGAGTATTTGTTACCTTTCTGGTTTAGTCATTCTCTCAGTAGCACCGTATCCTTCCTGGCCACTATTATTATATGGGTTCCGGTTCTCTACAAAATAAATCATTAATTTGTCTTTCCACGTGTGTGTTTGAATAAGTAGTCTAACTCCAGTCGGTCGATGATCTTGTGCAACACTTTATTCATTGTCTGTGGTGGATAACTGTCACACATCCGACAGTGACTGTACCCCAGTGTTTATGGCTTTGCACTAAAAGTCCAGGAAATCCATCTTAAAGCTAGTCACTAGTGGGCAAATGATTATCGTCAAGATGGAGATTTGTGGAATTTGTTGTATTTTCATAGTTGAATCCATGAGTCGATCTAGAGTTTAGGTGTTCGCGCGTGAAACAAAATGTCCTAGGTTCGAGTTCCGCGTGCGGGGTCGTGAATGCGTACTTCTGAGGAGTCCCATACTGGGAAGAACCGGTCGTCCAGTGCTTCCGGGGTTTTAATGGTAGTCTAGCTTAGATAGATTCATAAAGTCAACTGTGAAACACATTTTTATACAAGATTTAAAAATTAGTAGTATAGATTTCAGTTTATTATATAATTATGCAAAGGATTTCATATCGTGGGGCAATCTAATAATTATTGAAAGTAGCTAGTTAAGTTAAATCAGACCTCAGGTAAACCTATCTCAAAAGGTAATTTGAAATATGCCGTATTAAGTTTCAAGTTTCCTTATTATAATAAAAATGTGACGTGTAAAAAATTTTGTCTTCTGCACACTTCACTGAAAAACATACACTAAACTGAATATCCTATATTCTATTGATAGGTGTTGAATAGAAAACAGTTCTTCAATCTTTAATTAGCAGGAAGTATTACTGGTTTCATGATAAGATCTATTTACTTGCTTGTAAATGATAGGAAAGAACTGACGAGAGGAAATACAATTTTAGGGGAAGGTCGTTAGCTAGATGATTTTAAATGTTACTACATCAGTTTTTACTAACAACCATAGCGTATCTAAATATGCAACAGTGATACAAGTTTCCTATTAAACATATTACACCAATCAGAACATACTGACATACATCATTCCGCAGTTGTTATTTGTTACTATCAGAAATTTCTTACGCTCATGCTAGATGACTGAGGTAAATGAATAGAAACTAAATTCATGACAAGGTTGTACCAATAATTTGGAATGATAATTTGCATTTGTTTGTAAGAAATACTAACCATTAAATAAAAATGATATGTTGGCTACAGAAGAATGGTAACCATGTTATATGAATATTTTCAATTTTTTTAACAACAACATAAAATTATGCATTTAAGATAAGTATCTTTTTTTCGCACTATTCATTTTAAAGAATAACTGGTGCATACTTTAAATCACAACTAAATCCCGGTTTTTCTTCCCAATATTTCTTCAATCGCCACGTTGAATACGAACTATAAATGACTATTATAAAAGGAATAACTACCAACATCTGAATAGTTTTTATTTCCGGTTTCCTACATATATCTAATTATAGCAAATATACTAATGGGAATTTCCCTAGTCAATAGATTAAGATTAGACTTTAGTATTTCTAAAGAAAACTTACGAAATCTTAACCTATATAAGAAGAAAGTGTTTTTTTCAAGGTTAATGATGCTAAGCTATTATATAAGTAATTATAATTATAAAAGAAATTATTACTTACCCAGCAAATGTTGTATACAATATGACAATTATCACAGCCAGTAGAAAACAAACACCTAATGTTACAAATATAATATTTAAAACTTTTCTTAATCTTGGCATTTGTAAATCTTCTAACTCTTCACCATTACCATCATCTTTGACACGTTTATCTTCAAGGAAACGTATTAATCTATCTAATTTACTATTTTTCCGTGGTCTGCGAAACCGTCTACGTTTTTTCTCTTTTTCACCATTTTCAGCTGTTTGTGTTGAATCCATAAATTCTGCATTATTATTATTATTATCAATGAGTGTATCATTCAACCGATTATTTGTTGCCGATACCTGGTTGGATAACCGACCATTTAGTCGTTTAGACTTAGTATCTTTATTGTTGTTAGCATTAGTGGTAATAATCGTGTTATTAGTATTATCTGCTTGTGTAGGTACAAAATTATAGTGTGATAAATCTAATGTTCCAGTAGGTGAAGGGAATAATAATGATTGTTTCTGATCTCCTCGTTTACCATTAACAAATTTTATTCCAGGAGAATTAGGATTCAATTCAGTTGACAGTTGATTTGTAAGATTTCGTTGATGTTGTGTATCGTTGATACTAGTTGAATTTTGTGAACGTAGATTGTTAGACGAAACAGGTGTTGGACTGGTTTGATGACCTTTATAAGAGGCTGGAATAAAAAATTGTGGCACCTTTTTATCACTCATTTTTGTATTCATAAATTCAAGAATAAGAGAATAACAGATGATAATTTACATTATAATGTTAAAATGTTTTCATTTTTTAATCAGAATAGTTAAGATTGCATTAAACATTCCTGCTAGTAAAGAATTCAACTGAAAGTCATTAAAGATAAATTATTTGCTATCTTTTCTTTCAACTCATATCTTTTTAAACAGATTTAAGTGGACAAATAGAAGTCATTCATAACTATCGGCCTAACAGTATAACCAATAGGAAGGCTTCTATAATTATTTCCCTATATGATTGGATCAGAATAAATAACTTATTACCTGTAGCCATGTCACTAAAATTGATTATTAGTGTTTTGTAGTTGACTTTGAAACTGTTTATTCACTTGCTAGTCTAGACGTGATAAGTATTTGGGAGAGTGAATAGTTTTAACATTCAAAAATATGCAAATTACTATTGTGTTTTTAAATCGTGAAAAGTTACAAAATACCATTTATTCTATTTAATAATTCATATATAACACACAGCTAGAAGGTGAAATTGAATCATGTCTTGCTTGTTGGCAGAGAAAAACTTTCGATTATTATCATTGTTTTTAACAGGAGTATTTTAGTAATTGATTAAGTTATATATCTGGAATACTACATTCAGGTTAAATAAAAAGACGTGAGGAAATAATTGCATATTACACTCCTAGTATAATACCCTCTGATTTGTTTCTTTTCACTGTTGACCATTTTTACTCTCAAAACTTGACAACAAAAGCTAGGATCAATTAATGACCTTCTGCAGTATCGGTGGTTGAACTAGTAAGGTCAGATGAAATGAAAATTATGTAACACATTATATTATTTTACGATAAGTTTAGGATTTTGAAGACATAAGGTATTGATGATTATTTTCATTTTGAAGATATTTAGGTGTTTACTACTTGCAAATATGTGGCAGATAAAAATATTTTATGCCGAATTATCGGATACTTTACTGACCACTACACGTTATCTACTTCTATAAAATTCAAATACATGGTTAATACCAATGATTGTGGAACTGGTATGCTATGCCAATAACAGATAGTGTACGAATATTGTACGAATTAACCCAGGTTTTATATAAAAATTACTATGGTAACTGGATGGCTTATTTTTAAATGTTACTGTTTGGTATGAAATACCACTGTACTCTTAAAATCAAATTCTTTAGAACTTATTAATTATAATCAAATTAGTTTTACGGCATATACTTTTCCTCAAATAATTACTTCTTTAGTTAGAACAAAATATTCTGTGGATAAATGTTTAAAATAATAGTAGTTCTAGATACAGATTCTTTCACTTACTAGTATGATAACACAAACTTATTTCTATATAAAAAAACGGTTAAGGAGACACGTCACCAAACTTAAAATCTTGTCAATTCATTTGAATTATAACTATGAAATAATCTTATATAATCAGAATGTATAACACAGCGGTATTACATTCATTTGATATTGTTTACTTGAATCTTCCCATTGATGTTTAGGGCTCCAATTGATCAATCACTTATTGGCATATGTGCATACTATGAGCATTGCCTCGATATTGCTTTGATTCACATGCATTATAAGTAAAGATGGGTAGTGGCTAGTGGTGGTATCCAGGACGCACGTTTCGTCACACTTAAGACTCGTCAGCTGGATATACCTTCAACCGGAGTTCACAATATCAGGCAAAATGTTATAATATACTAAATAATAAAACTTAACTTTTCTACAAATTGATTTATTAGAGTGACTTTAATTTCATGCTGTTTCTTATCTACATCATATGTGAAATTTGAAATATGAGATATTCAGAAAATTAAAAATAATTGTTGTGCATGATTAAATGGTCGTGCAATTAATGATTTAAAAAGGAAAGAGGATAATTTTCAAAATTGTTGCTAATGTATCCATGTGTTTTTAAGATAAAACAGCAATATACAATGTTAGGGAAGTGAATTAGTATTCCGTGACTAGGAGTTTAACTGTGACGAAAACATTTGACCGTTTATTTTCATTTCAAAGAGTGTTAAATTGACGATAAGATAAGCAAAGACGGATAGTGGTTAGCAGTGGGATCCAGGAGTCACAAATAGGACTAAACATGCGTCCTGGATTCCACTGCTAACCACTATCCATCTTTGCTTAGAATGCTCCTGAATTAAGGCAATATCGGGGCAGTACTGACAGTATGTATATTTGCCAATAAGGGACTGATCAATTGGAGTTTTAAAAATCAATGAGATGATCCAGGTAAAACCATACGAAGTGGATTTAACGATGAGATGTTTCAAATTTTAAAACCAATATTGATGAGCTAAGACTCAAATTTAATCTAATCTCAATAATTTCGATATGTCAAAAAATGAATTCATTTATGTATGCTTTTTCTGATAATCTGATTAATGATTATCCACTTTGAAGGGAAAGCTTATGTGATAATTAAAAATATGTAACTACTCTGTTTAACACTGAACATAATTCTTGTTTTGTTTTTTAGTTCAGAAAACTGTCAGGGATTGTCCTTGTGATTTATTGCAGATGTTATCTTGTAGAGGTTTATCCAAAGTTAATTTCTGTACAATTCTATGAGACCTATAATGATCACATTAAAAATCTGCTTTATTTTTCATTGAAATTTTGATTGTTTGCAAATTTCAGATAGCAGTTAGCTAATCATTCATCAATGATACCAAATGATGGCCGTAACATATTAAAAATTTCGTAAAAGTGAGAAGCTAAACCATTAAATTTTGACATAGCAGTTCGATGGTGTCATGTGTACTAACGGGGACTTGTAGAGCCTTCATATACAACCAAACACTTTTCCGTATTATTCTTTCTTTTAGGTTTAATTTGTCAAAGTGAAATAATGAACTGACCTTTCAGAACATAATTATAGAAGTTAGCCATTTTGTATAAAAATCAATGTTGAGTAAAACTACTGTGTATTTAAAACGTTTAGGTTGATAATTTTGAAATTACAGTCATGAATTATAAGCAACGTGATCCTACATACATTTTTTCATCAATTAAATGCACTAAGTAGACCTTAAGTTATTTGAAGGATAACCCCAGTAAAACATTTTTTAATTCATATTTCCGTAATGACTATTAGTGTCAACTGACTAGCTGTCGTTATTTTTAGCTTGTTAATTTTGTTATTCCAGAATCATTCGGTGTTCCTATATAAACAGAGTAGTTTCATCTTTTTTTTTTTGAATTTCGTAAGAAACCTTTCCTGAAAGTTTCATCTTAGCTTGTGGATTAATTAAGGATGAAGAATTATTGTAGATCATCCGTCTAGCCTAAGTGAGTTCATATATTTTATAGTTGATATTAGAAGATTCTGACTGATTCAAAATTAGAAATTATCATTAGACAATAATCATTATCGTATTCTAAAACTTAATACAATGATCACTTAGTTTCATTAGTACAATTCTTAATTAATTTACAAACACTAAACTATCGAATATTTACTTATTTAACTTGGCAGAAACGATATAAGATAATGATAACCCTGACTTTCATTTTCATTATTGTTGCCAACTAAGTTTTTTTATTAAGTATTCAAGTCTAAAGAAAAACAAAACAAAAGAATAAATTGTAAAAAATTATTCAAATGCTTGGAAAAGCTTATCAAAACTTAATAATCACTTGTTCATAAATTCCTAGAGAAATATTAGAGAACAAAATGAAATTTATTAATATATTATGTGCATAAAATGCTTAAGAATTTAAGTTTTAAACAATATTTTATTTAATAATTGAATTCATGAGCCATGGAAAACCTGGAAACACTGGACGGCTGTCTCGTCCTAGTATGGGACTCCACCGTAGTGCGTGTCCACGATCCCACTTGTGCGATTCAAACACAGGACCTTCGATTTTGTGCGCGAACACTTAACCTCCAGACTACTGAGCTAGTCAGCATCCAACGGTGTTTATGTCTGACTTCAATCAACCCACAAAATTGCCCCACCATCCACCATTGTCTTCAGTGAGTTACTGCTTCACAACAGACACGGTTGAACTCCACTGGTCACTGCTCCTGACTATAATTCTAGGAAATACCTCTTTAAAATATCAAATCAGATTTTTATTAATTTCAATGTTTGCACAATAAATTTAAAAATATTCTTAAGTCCTTCAGGTTGGTGTTTCGGTCTTTTGGTTTTATATCGAAATAATCCACCATTAGACTAAATCAATAATATCATAATACAGTTCAAGAAAAGTTTATTGAATTCTGTGAGAACTTGACATGGAAATTTATCTATTCAACATTAACATGGGCTCATTAATACTACTGTGAAATGAGTATTGTATTTGTTATTTTTCCTGATGGTAATTCTTTTGACAATATTACACCAGTATATTTTTTTCCAATTTACTATCCACTTAGGTAAAGTTATAGTAGTAAGTTTAATTTTTTTGTGAATTTATCGAAAAATAGCATGCTGTTTCATTTCTTTTGTTGGTAAATTAAGGTTTCATTAGCTTCTCTGGAAACAGAATGCATCAGTTATGTTCTACTCTTCGATTCAACTGTAATATACTCTTCTTAACGTTTATCAAGCTATTTATGCACAGTAAGAAAATTAATGGTGTGTTCATTCCGACTTTAGCGTTTAAGTCTCCCATCAGGATGATCAGGTTCTTTCCTGAGCACTTCGCACCTGTCGTAAAACTGATTTTTATCGTCATCGCTGCTATCATCAAAGGGTACATAACACTAGATAACATTTATTGTGATTTCGTCCTTCTTTGTTCTGAAGAATATTTTGATGATCCTGGATCCATGAGATTCCCATCGTATAAGTGGATTTCGTGCTTCTTTGGACAACATCAGAGCAACTCCATGTATGTGGAGCATTTTCCTCTTCGTGATCAGAGTGCAACAGTATCTCTTCTGAATATAAGCTTTTCTGTCCAGCTTCAGTCCAATGGGTTGCGCTGATTCTGTGGACCGCCAAGTTGTATCTCCCC